TAGTAGTAGTAGTAGTAGTAGTAGTAGTAGAAGTAGCAGTAGCAGTGGCACAGTATATTTGTTCCAAGCGACCCACCATCCGTGGCCATGGCCATGGGGGTCCTCGGCTGTAGTAGTACCTTGAGGACGTAATGCCCGCTAAAAGTGGCTTCCACTTCCAAACGCACATCAAATATAGACTATCATGATTATAAGAGACATTTAACAAAAATCATGGGTCGGCCCATTCATGGGTTCGACGTATGCTTGTAGGAGATGTGTCGTCATGAACAGGCACATCAAGGAAAATAGAGCTCTGGCTACCAATGTTCATGAAGATATCACGCTGTGCAGCATCGACTGTATGGCAAAAGACCTGAAGGATGGCATGGCAAAAGCCATATGTCACGAAAAGCATTGAAGGCGCGAAGGGGTAACTTCCAAATCCCCTGCTGTAATTGCCAGTGGTTCTGGCACCACCAGCAGTTTGAGCCCCATATTGAGCCAAAAAATTCACACACACACACACACATATATATATATATATATATACATACAGTATACATATGTATATATATATATATATATACACATGTCATATCTGTATATATACATCTTATATAGTACTAGTATCATAATACACATAAATATAGCAGTATAGAGAGAGTGTGAGAGAGATAAATAGGTCAGGTCCATAAACGGGGTTTCGTATTTGGTGTTGCCGGTGCTCAGGCGCCTTTGGTATTGCAGTTCTAGAGACTCTTGAGGATTGGGTTTGGGCCCGGGGTTTTACAGGGTTTAGGGGTTGGGGGGTTAGGTTGCGTGCAAGCTTGGTTTTCGAATGCGGATGCAGGAATGGTGCTTCGGCTTGGGCTCGAATTGGGGTGAGTGGTTCAGGATTGTCAATTGTGGAATAGAGTGCTCTGAGTTGTTTAAGCCGAGTTCGATCACATAGCTTCATACTCGAAAAGCAAACCCCGACTTAACTGAAAGCTAGCAAACCCTATAACTTCGGTACATATATACAAACCCAAACCTAAACCCTGGACCCTTAAGCCCTGAACCCCGCGACCCTGCATCCCTAAACACACCTGGACAATAAACCCTACACCGTATCTGACTCCTCCAACCACATTAAATCTTTCAAACAAATCAGCAACCAACTAGTCCCGCAAAATCAAAGAACTATCACCCCAACCCCCGACCCCCCAAACCACTCGACACTTAAACCCTAAACCCCACCTCCCCTAAAACCTATATGCCCCAAACCCTGACCTTGAAAAAGCCCACCTCGATCCTGACACTTTCCACATGGCGGAGCTCTCCGACTTGCCGATCACGCGAGCACGCCATGTGCTCAGCTGTCCATATTTAGGACAGCTTTGTCGAGGGCTTCTTTGATTTGTACAAGGTTGCGTAGTAACAGATTCTTTTGAGCTGTTTGCACACTTACACGACGGTAGACCTTCATGCAATACTTCACCCAGTCTTCATCGTACCAGCAAGCATCCCATCCGTAGTTTCGCCCCGTGCCGTCGATTGCGGCTTCAGTGATAATGTGATGTACATGGTGTATTTTCGGGCGAAGTTTGAACAGCTTTTCAGAGTTGAGAAATGCTGTGCGGGCAAGATTGGAATACGTTGATAGAAATGCCAAGCCAACAGCTTCGATGTTGGCCTTCTCCTCGACACTGAGAAAAACACCCCCTTCTGTAATGGTGCGCGACAGGTGGTCTGCACTCCAAACACATGATAGCAGCCCAGCATAGGGACTCTCAGGGGGCTTTGCTTCCAATTTCGAGGCTAGCCATGAAATGATCACGGCCGTGTCGTAAGCACTGGCGTGTAGCTCAGGACACTGATCCACATACCAATGCAAAGACGATTTCTTCAAATACTTGATAGAAAGCTGCTTGCCACGACCTTTGGCAAACTCTTTGATGTCACGTGTCATAGCCCGCAAACGCAGCTGGATGTTTCGCAAAGGATACCAAAACTTGCACCTGGCCATTATCTTTAAGGCCGCACCAGCCAAATCACGGCCCACTCCCATGTGCCAACAATGCATCCAATCGGCCCTTATAAGCCTTGCAGAAAAAAACGACATCTTTGCAAACTCCGGGCACTCGTCCCAAGGTTCCGGTGCGGTGCTCTGTGTGCCACGCCACCCTGCTGTTGCCGAGAAATCCGTATAGACTGTGCTCCAGTCTCGTCGCCCCATACTAGCCAGACATTTGAAGCACACCTGTTCTGGGTGGTTTTGGGTTTAGGATAGGGGCTGCCAGGGGAGGGGATCGATTTTTGCACATAAAACTTTAACTCTCATCCTTAAACCACAATAAAGATCTATCTGTTTATCTATCTAAAGATCGAGTATAGCTCCCACACTTACTACTCCGCATTCTGCGGGGATCTTGTACGAATACTATAGGAATCATTAGCACATATTATCTCGATAAACATCCATAAGATCCCTAACACCCTTGTAGCAAACCCTGGCCCATGAATCCCCAAAACAAACACATCACACGCCCAGGCTGGTCCTGCTCTTTCCCCGGCTTCCTCTTGAAGTTGAAGGCTTGCGCGAGGTATTTTAAATCTCCACGGAAGCCAACTGGGATAAAGTATATCGTCTTAGTCTCGGGTTTGTGCAATGTAAACTATTGGTTGCCAAATACTTATACTGGATTGGAGATCATCTCACTATGTAATGAGGCCTCATAGGAAACAAGAGCATGAAAGCAAATTAATGACACCTCCAAGAAACGCCCGCATCAGTTTCGATGCCAGAGTGAATCAACTTGTTGATGTCTGCAACAATTGCTGCATTCATGCCTTGCAATGTCATGTTCGTGCCTTCTTCCACCCAGTACAGTTCTGTAGGAATGGAGTACAGTATGTAGCGGCTCGCCTTTGAGTTTGTCCGGAAGCAAGAAAGGTCGGGAGTCCTTGGCTTTTGAGGGTTCAGGTTTACCGACAACACAATATTTAGCAGATACAATTCAATTGGGTTTTAGGTCTCAAGATCAGTAAAATAATTACATATAGGAAACGGAAATCAACACCTGAGTTTATATCATATTTCCCAAGCATAGATTCCAGCTGGTAACCATCCAACTTCGCCTGGTAACAGTTCCCTCATCACCCCAGAGAACTATCGGCACACACTGAGCCATGTCCCGCCCGGCCGCGTACTCCTGAAACCCAGGGCCCATATCATGAGCCATGTGTTGCCAATATTTTCGCAACCCAGCAGGCTTCGCCGACACCATTGTTCTGCCGAAGCCGGCCTGGACGAGAGCAGAAGCCTGGGCCGGACATCCAGTCGTAAGGTTTTGGAACAGGGGTTAACATATTGTTATCTCCTATAGTACCTAAATTTTATTAAATAATCTCGGCTAGATACCATCTCCGAGGGCAGAATCACCGGCATGGGTTCAAAGGCCATTTCATCATCTGCATTGCATATAGGCACCGTTGCCCAGGAAAGGTTTGCTTTCAATGCATGACCAGATTTTGCAAGTCGTTGATGAAGTTCGTCTTCTCGCAACGGTCGTGAATCATAGCCACTCATGAGACTAGATCCATAAATGTCTCCTGCATCAGAAATTTCTAAAGCATAACTTAGAAGCTGCCCCCACCCTGTAATAGTGACCATCACGATTATATAGGATTATATTAGGGCCCTATTCAATGGAATAGAATTCTATTCCTATGATACCACTATTACAGGGTGGGGGCAGCTTCTAAAGCATAACACACAAAGTTGACCCTGGACCCTGAACTGTGCCAGAACCCAAAAGTTTAAAGAACGCTTCGAGTGGGAGTTAAGGGTTCAAGGGAGCCGGGTTTAGGGCTTAGGGCATCAGGGGTTTAGGGTTTAGGGGTTTAATTTTTTTGGGCTCCCAGTTCGCAGGCCAAGGAGATCGTGTTGTCGCCACCAGCAGTAGACCTGGCCAGCCTTATTTGTGCATGGACGCAGCACAGTTAAATTCAATACCTTGCCCACAACATCATTCGTGTTTGAAAACAGATGCAAGCCAGCAGCACATTGTCCAGCTTGTGCGTTACACCAGCATTCTTGCTAGTGCGTCCAGTACCTGCTTGGTTGCAAACTACCCCACACCGCCTAAGAATTCGCTTTAGCTCATGCACACATGTGCACACAGATTGCAAAACTCGCGTAGGTTTTGCACCAGGCACTGAAGCTCCAAACACTCGACCTCACACAGCTCACCCATGATAGCACGGGGACCCCGGAGCGCAAGGCGAGCATAATAGAGGCTGCACAGGAACACTGCTGATGGTTGACATCCAGCGGACACATTATGGCCTAAAGCATTTGCAACCATAGCTTCTAGCACATATCCTAACCTTCGGCTGTACTTTGCTATGCCATCGGCCATAGGAATATACGAAAACTTAGATAGCACTTTCGCTTTGCGAAGCTCAAGCGTGCTTGCGTAGCTCACTCACCAATGCCCGTGCTTGGGCCTTCTCCATCCTGAGCTCCATGACCTTAGAGATTGGCTTATCGAATCACCCCAAGCAAAGCAACCCCCCCTAGGCCTAAATCCTTAAACCCTGAAGCCCTTAACCCCTTAAACCCTTAAGCCCGAGACCTCAACCTTACCCAGGTAGCCTGGTCGTGGATTTGCTGGCAGATGGGGTCCATTTCCTCGGCGGTCTTCAGCTCCTTGAACCTTATGTGTGGAGTTAAGGGATATCGGGCCAGAGGTTATCACCGGGATCTCGTTCATGGCTGGAAGCTTTTTGGCATAATTCTTGAGTTTCTTCTCGTAACGAACCAGAGTCGATTTCATATCGGTCTCCTTGTTCGAATCGCCCAAATCGAGCATCAGGTTGGAGAGGCCATTGATCTCCTTCTTGAGCTCTTGGCCTGGGTATGCAAAACAATACAGAATTCAACTGCAGGGTCTCAGGAATTATAGGCACTGTAGCTTCAACCTTGGGGTCTCGGGTTTAGGTTTCCGGGCTTCGCATTTGTGATTGGATTGAGCCTAGAAACTCCATCGCTGATGCTTATCCTCATCCGTCCTGAAGACTTCGTTGAGCAAGCTTGCCCTGGTTTTTGTCGTCGCAGCAGAAGCCACAGATTTCGCACCAGCACGTTTCTTCGGTGCTTTCCCACGACCGGCACCACTAGCATTGCCTTTGGGTGGCACGTAGCAGCGTAGCACGAACTTAATCAAACCGCAGTTGCATTCACACAGCTCAGACAAGCCACAGGCCGCAGCAGCAGCTTCCTGAAGCCCGGTGTTGTACTTGTCAAAGGCCTTGAGCACATCCCCATTTAAGGGGTGCGCAGCAGTCGCAGGGGCACTTCGGTGCAAAACCGACGGCAAGCCGTTCGACCCCAAGCCAGCCATGAAAGCTTCATCGGCTACCGCATTGACTTTGATCTGAGCACGGATCCTGAGTATTGACTGCAGATCGCAATAGGATTGCACAAACACACATATCCTATCCTTTATGGCATCAACTAAGTAGCTTTGATTGCTCCATCTCGGTCTTCTCGCGGTCCACCACGACCCAAAAGCGCGTCAGGGAAAGGTTGTCAGGGCTGTGTTCATCTTTTTCGCCTCCTCCTTGAGCAATGATCCCCTCAATCTTGTCCCTTGGTGTCGACAGCTTCCAGGATTGTTCAGGGTTTTTTGGTTTGATATATATATATATATATGTGTGTATGCATACATATGTCGTATACAACCAAGGCACGGAGGAAAGGAGTAGGGTGCTTTCGGCATGTCGCACACACGCAGCTGCTTCCACACACGCTTGCCTGTGAGGCTTTGCTCCTTTAACACCAGCAGCTCTGCCTCACAAGCTTTGCAATTCTGGCCGTGAGAGATGAACTTTCTGAGCACCTTGTTCTTCTCCTGAGCACAGAGGATTACCATGCAGGGGCCATCACACACAAGCCAAGCAGTCCTGGAGGTTGCTTTCCCAGAGATTCGACATCTCCGGGAAAGCCGCCAGCTTGCCCGCATCGTACAGCCGGTTCTTAGCACAAACAACCACACACACACACACTCACCCACATATACAGTCCTGAAACCACAAGACCACAACTCACAATTGAGCCCAGAAACAAGTTTGGCATACTCCTTTGGATGGGTAGAACTGTTCACCTTCACCTCAGGCTCCTGGGGATCAGAACACTGTGGCACCTCGGCGGGAGCAGCTGGTAGAGCCGGTAGAGCGGCTGGAGCAGGGGCTCGAACAGGCGTGGCAATAGGTCTCGTCATTGCAGGGGTGGCATCCTTAGGATCCTCCTGAATAGTCTTGGCTGACAGCGGCTCCACACCTTTTGTTGGGCTAGCAGAACCGAAGGATGTAGCATTCTGTCGTCGCAGCATATCCTGCAAATGCTTGTTGTGAATTTCAAGCTGTTGCATCCTCTCAACCAACGAGTTCAGGGTAGATGCATCCGACCCAAGAGCACTTGCTGAAGGCCCAAGCCTCAATGCAGCAATACTGGAATAGAACTAGACAAGGCCAACGCACAATAGTTCAGGCAAAGTAGCGTCGAAGTGGAAGTCGTACGGTGAACGGGGCTGAGGCGTGTGGACTTGCCAGCGATGCTCTGCTGGCCCAAGACAAGGGTGGTCGAGGACCTGAAAGCTCCGTCTAAACCCGATAAATCCTAAGCCCCTATTTGAACCACTAGAAACATAAAACCCCGAATGTATACCCAATACTAAAATTTAAGTTCTCTGCATCTGCATCTATATCTGTATATATTCATACATCTATACTATATATCTATATCTATGTCGGTATCTAAACTCAAGCATAATAGCTAGTATAGGCCCCACCACAAAGCACCATTCTGAACCCCACCACAAATTTTGTTATACTTTGCCACTACAATAAGTTAATTCCCTACAATAAATTGCAAAACGAAGCCTTCATATTCCATGTGCTGATTTACAGATAGGTGACAAGAGAGACTCCGTGTCCAAGGGTTGGGTGTCCGCTTGGCTTGGATCATGGGGCATGCACGGGGTCCCTGTTGGTGTGCTTGCGGCTTCTCCTGTGGTCCTCTCCTCTGGTTCGGCAGGTCCTGTTGGTGTGCTTGCGGCTTCTTGTGTGGTCCCCTCCTTTGGTTCGGCAGGTCCTGCTGGGCAAGACAGTGCCAGGGCTTGCTCCTGGCCATCCACAAGCGCTTCAAGCTTGGCTTCCAAGCCATCCCCATACTTATGCTCCCAATAAGCGTCCCAAAAGCCAGGGTACTCCGCCTCCCAATCATACTCATCTGTTGAGCCTTCCCAGCCTTCCTCCCAGCCTTCCTCCCAGTCTCCCGAATCCTCCCAATCCTCTTCCAAGCCCTCGTTCTCATCCCACGGCTCACCATCGAGGTCCTCGACCTCGTTGGCGGACTCTTGCTTCTTATTCTTCAGCACGTTCTCCTTCTCTGTGCCGAAGAAATCAGCGACATCCTGTGCACTTGCGGGAGCAAAGACCATAGGATCTGGGCCCGGATCCTCTGCCTTTGCCTTCTTTGGCTTCTTGGTGGCAGGCTGCTCAGGAGAGGGAGGACGCTTGCCGGTGACTCGCGTTTTGGTGTCGGCTGCTTTCGGGGCTTTTGCCTTAGGGGTGGGCCCGCTCGGCAGACCCTGCTCCTCACACGAAGCCTGCCACGCAAGGAAGACAGCTGTGGCCTCCTCACGTGTGATGCCCTCTGCCTTCATGAGCTTCCGTAGGGTGGTACCACAGAACTCGGTGTTCAGGGGAACCTCAAGGTCTACGGCCTTGGAGCTGCCACGTCCATCCTTCGCCTCCCTTAAGGCACCTTTAAAGGCTTTGCCGGCTTTAAGCACCTTCCCGATGTCTTTTGCCATTGCTAGAGCCGAGGGCACAGTATCACCATATGATTGAGCCTAAAGCACAGGATTTTAGAGTACGCGCAGGCCAAAAAAATAGGGTACGTGCATTTCTACGCTTTCGACGCGGTTTTAACTAGCATTTCAGTGGATTTTAACTAGCGCTCGAACGTTTTCGACGCGCACCCTTTTCATCCCAGGACCTCAGATCTTGATGAAACTTGAATTTGCCCAGCTAGCATATATGACATAATTGGTTTAGGGGACACTATATAATAGGTTTTTGGGTCTATATTAGGTATAAATATATACATATTATCAAGCTAGGCACTTAATTAATCGAGGGCAGAACTAACCAAGCTAGCGATATCACCTGTGGAGGATCACGGCGGTGGTGGCCCAAAGACATCCTTGGGCGTGCAGACAACCCTGGCTGCATCATCGATCTTGCTCCGGTACGTATTAATATATATATATATATATATATATGGTGGTTGTTCAGGCGGATATATATATATATATATGTATATCCGGGGATCGAATTTTCAGGGTTCGGGACGATCGCAAAGTTCGGGTGATCGGGACTGCGGGTCGTCGTGCTTCAGCAGACCAGACTTTGCAGTCTGCGGGTGTGTGTGTGTGTGTGTATGAGCTAGTGAGAGAGTGTGTGAGAGTGTGAGAGAGAGAGAGAGAGAGAGAGAGAGAGAGAGAGAGAGAGAGAGA